TGGGGGGTGATTTCTCGCTTTCTGTCTCTGTCTCTGTCTTTCTGGCCAGCACACATGCCCTGTAGCAAAAATCTCTCTCTCAAAAAAAAAAAAAAAAGAAAAAAAAAAAAAAATAACAACTATATAAATATCAATAGTAAGATAGTATTAGTAAATCTGAAGGAAAAAAATAAAATGTAAAGGAGGAACTATTTGAAGAAGTAATGAAAAGGAATTTCTCAGAATTATAGAATAGTGGGCCAGCACCATAATGCAGTGGTTAGGCACTTTGCATGGGGATTCAGATCTCACATGGCTGAATCCCAGCCTCAACAACTTGGAAATCACACCAGGGAGGGGTGTGTGTGTGTGTGTGTGTGTGTGTGTGAGAGAGAGAGAGAGAGAGGGAGAGAGAGAGAAAGCATGTCAAAAATGTGTATGGAATGGAGAAATAGAGAAAAATGGATCACAGCATGACCATGCCCCATTGGGGATTCTCTCCCTCTCTTTCTCTCTCTTCAGCAAGTGCACACACTCTCTGGTAATAATAACAATAATAAAAAGAATTACAGAATAGTAGGACCCACAGATCAAAAGTGTTCACAAACTACCAGAAAAGAAACAAACAACAATAAAAAGGTTAAACACATTATAATAAAATGCACAAATCTCAAAAGGAAAAAAAAGAGCATATAATCTACAAAGAAGGAAGAATTGAATTAACTTTTAATAACATTTCTATTCAGTGGATTCTGTATTTTGGCTAAATTGCAAACTCTTTGGAAGCTGAAGAATGAAAATGAGGCAAAATATAAGATTGTCCGTGGGACCAGCAGATGATGTAATGGGCACATAGCTGGACTCCGACGTAGTCAACCGCGGTTAGAGTTCTGAACCCAGCAGCTTAAAACACATCAGGCACATGTGTGTGTGTGCCCAAAATCCTCAGAGGACCATGGAGAAAAAGATATTGTGGCATGGCCATCCCCCCCAGGGGGTGATTTATGGCATGCTGTCTCTCGGTCTCTCTCTGTCTCTCCGGCGAGCAAAGTGCCCTATAGCATAAATCTCTTTAAAAAATAAAAATAAAGGGGCCAGCAGGTGGTGTAGTGGTTAAGAAGCTGGAAACTCCCACATGGCCGACCATGGTTCAAGTCCTGGACCTGGTGACTTGCTTACTCACTTTCCCTCTCTCTCTCCCTGTGTCTTTCTCTGGTCAAATATTTAAAAAATGAATGAATGAATAAAATTAAATTAAATAATTATTTTTTAAAAGTAAATAAAAATAAAAATGATTTGGAACCAGCAGATGGTACAGTGGTTATATCGCTGGACTCCCACATGGCCAACTGCAGTTCAAGTCCAGAACCTGGTCACCTGAAAAATCTTGCTGGGCACATGTGCATGCATGCCCAAGATCCCAGGAGGAGAAGGGAGAAAGGACTGCAGTATGACCATTCCCCCCAGGGGAGGGGGTGATTTCTCATTTTCCTTCTCACTGTGCCAGTCTCTCTTTCCAGCGAGTGCATGCACTTTAAGGCAAAAACCTCTAAAATAAAATTTAAATAAATAAAATTATTAAGGAATAATCCAATTTAAAAAACTGATACAGAGATTAGAAATATTTATCATGTATACTTGAAAATGAATACAGTGAAATGTAAATCAATAGTGTTAAGTATTAGACATATCAGATTTGACAAAATATAAAATAGCAATTCTACAGAAAATGAGAAAATATAGGCCTGCATTTATCAATAACATAATAAACATAATTCAGTTTTCAAAGAGGCAGTATCTAGTGATCAGAGGATCATCTAATAAATTTCAAGAGACTAAAAATAAAAAAATGTATTGGGCAGAAATCATGGCAAAAGTCCATGTCATTCTATTAGCACATTAATTCAAAACACAAATATTAACAAAAATATAACAAACTTTATAGAGAATAAATTCAAAACCAATAATAAAAATTATAGGGTTTTTTTTTAGAGGTTTTTGCTATTGGGCATGTGCACTCACTGGAGAGAGAGACAGACAGACAGAGAAAGCAAGAAATCACCCCTCGGGGGAATGGCCATGCTGCAATCCCTTCTCCTCTAGGCTCCTCTCGGGATTTTGGGCATGCAGGCCCATGCACCCAGCATGCGTTTTAAGTCTCCGGGTCTGGAACTCAAACCATGGTCAAATATGTGGGAGTCCAGTGATATAACCATTATGAATCTGCTGGTCCCCTAAAATTTATAGATATTATAAACATGGTAATTCTGAACAAAGTTTTTAAAAACTAATTATTTCTCTAATATTTTAGACATGATCTCTCTGCAAGTCATGGAAAGTAGATAACAATTATTGATATAATTGTGAATTTAAAAACTGCAAATAGATTGATCCCATAGCCTAGCGGTTAAGGGAACTGGATCCCATAAAGCCACCCCACGGTTCAATAGATGCACACACTTCAGGATTCAAAATCTTGACAGAATGGAAAAATGGAGCGGGGCATTGCAGCATGACCACACCCCACTGGGGGTGTTTTTCTCCCCCTCTTTTTATCTCTGAAAACCACACATGCCTTCTGGCATGCAAAAACAAAACAAACAAAAAACCTGCAAATATCTCTAAATTTATTTATTAGGATGTTAACTATTAAATCACACAACTGGAGAAGGATCATAAAATACTATTTACCAAAAAATAAGATTTTTTAAGTATATGTAAATCCGGCCAGCCTAGAACATGGTGGTTAAGGCAAACTGCACTGTTCGAGGCCAGAATATGGCAGCTTGAAAGATGTGCTAGACATGTGTGTTCATGCCCAAAATCCCAAAAGGAGAAATGGAGGAAAGGTGATTGCTATGTAACCATCCCTATTGGAGGGGGTGCTTTCTCACCTTCTCTCTCTCTCTGGCAAGACACATGCCTTCTGGCAAAATATTTTTTGAATGTATATGTATGTGTCTAATATATATTTACATATATACATGGAAATATAATTACTATATTATACACACAAGTGTATGTATATGTAAATATATGTGGATACAGGGATACACGCCTCAAATATGTGTGAGAAAAATGAAAAGAAAATTCTCAAAAATAAAAATTCTAAGACATTTTCCACAATTTGCTAATACAGTCTTTAAACTTAGCTGTGAACAATACAGTAAAAATATCTTTTGACAGCACTGGAAATCTTTATCTCATCTAAGAACTATATGACTACTTTGTTGTTTCAATGTAACACAAGAGTTAATTGATAACCTAGTTGGCAAACATAATTTTTAAGTCAAAGTCAAACAAGAGTTAAGATAATTTTATGCCAATGTCACTAAAAATTCATTTGAAAGAATGTGATGCTCTTTTGGAAACTGTTGACGATAATAGTAAAGTTATAAACTTTAGAACTTAAGTTGATAACCTCCATTGCAAAATATGCCCTTTATAATTTTTCTTATACTAATTGTGATATAATGCTTTAAGTAAAATTAATGTAGTAAGAAAATGATGCACAAACTAAATTTACAAAGCAGAAAAAAATCTTATTGCCAAAGACATTCCAACAAAAGCATCAGGTCTGAGAGGAAGACCAGGAAACTAGACGTAAAGAGAGTGGTCAATGAGCAAAGTGGAGAGAACTTAGTGATAAATTGTATCAGACACTAGGAGATACAACATGGAACTAGGGAGTAAAAACTGACCATTGGATTAACATGAAGGTAGGTCATTTGTGACCTGAAACACAGCAACAATTCAACAGAGGGCTGTGATGCCTGAATGACTTAAATCTAAAAAATACTGTTAGAGAGGAAGTGAAAATTATGAATATGAATATAGATACTCTGAGGAAATTCTGCTTCTAGATGGAGGAAATATGGTCAAGAGGGAAGATTTTTTTTTAATGACAAAAATAAGTTTGTATGCTATTATAGGTCAAATTGTGTCCTCCCCCAAAAATTATATCCAAGTCCTACCTCCAGAATCTGTGAATGTGACCGTATTGGAAATGGGACATTTACAGGTGTAATCAAATTAAGATGAGTTCATACTGGATTAAAGTGTGCCTTAATGTAATGATTTATTCTTTATATGAAGGGAAAAAACAACACAAATACATATAAGAGACGTTTTGTGAAGACCAAGGCAGAGATTAGAATGAGTCTACAAGCCAAAGGATGCCAAGGATTGCCAGCTTCAAAAGATAGAAGAGAAAAATGATATATTTTCCGTAAAAGCCTCCAGTATGAACCAACCCTTGACAGTACCTTGACTTGGGACTTCTAGTCTCCAAAACTGTAAGAGAATAGATGCCTGTTTCAAGCCACCAAGTATACCATACTTTGTTATGACCCTAGGCAACCGGTGCTATTGGAAATGATCCAAGAAAAGCAAAAGGAACGGCTGGTAGAGAGGAAATTGCTGGGATAATATCCTTCAGTAATCAAGATGAAAGGCTTTTGCAAATGGAGTAACTCACTCCAGTAAAAGTTTATGTATGATGACAAGCAAGAAGGCAGAGATGTGGGTTACTTCAAGAAACCAATAAGAAAAGAATGTGTGGGACCAGCAGGTGGCATAGTGGTTGGGATGCTGGACTCCGAAATTTGACTACAGTTCAAATCCCGGACCTGTGGCTTTCTCATTTTCTCTCTGTCTCTCTCTGGTGACTGCATGTGCCTGTAGCAAATTTTAAAATAATGATGACAATAATAAAAAAGAATTTAACAGTGCTTAAAAAAAAAAAAAACCTAAAGAATGCCTCCATAATGTTACCTAAATTCACATGCAGTGAATATGTGTACTGAGAAAACATTTACAGATCTGAGGAAGAGAGGTCTTCAAAAGTTCACGGAAGGACATCTTACCAAAAAAATTATGACTTGATTTAAATATTATTTTGCATTAAAATAAACTATTTTCATTTCACTTTTTCCAGAAAAGTCCCCTCAAATCTACTTTAAATTTACATTTAATGCTCCTCTCAATGCTAGGAGGTTGATATTACAACACCGTTAATTTACCCAAATTTATCCGTCATTTTCCACCACCAGGACAAATGTCTTGCGGTTTAATCCTTCAAGGATTAACTTGATATTCGTTTCAAACCCTTTAATCATACAGTAAACAAAATGGGCGGGGGTGGGGGCAGTAAGGCTCAGAAAACGTGTGTGTGTGTGGCTCAGAAAATGTGTGTGTGTGTGTGTGTGTTTGTGTAGGGGTAACTGCCTTACACCCCGCATTAAAGGCGGCACAGCTGCACAGAGGCGGTCGGAAGGCGGGGAGGCCCGGGCAGGGCCGCCAGCGAAAGCCCCGCGCGGAGGCCGAACCTCGCCACGGGCCTCCCGCCTGTACCTGCTGCGGTGGCTGACGGGGGCGCCGGGCGGTCGCCTGGCGAGGCTGGCCGAGGGTGACAAACTATTTGCCTGAGGCGACTGGAAACCCTGGGCCTTTCGGCCTTCCCAGAAGGAAGCGGGCGAACGCCCCACAGTCCAACCCCGCCGCCGTGCGCTCTGACATTGGTGCGGATACCCAAGGCCGGGCCTCAGCCCCCCGCAGTAGCAACGACTGCAGGGCGCGCGCCGCCGCCGGACCCGCACGTTGACGCCACGTCATGACGCCGACGTAGATGCTGACGTTAAGCCGCCGCCGCCGCCGCGAGCGTGAGCAGCGCACCCAGAGGACGCTGCAGCCCTGGCCCTCGGGAGAGGAGGCGTTGGACCTCCGCAGCCGCCCGGCTCGGGAGCGGCGCTGCCAATGGAGACCTCGCCCTCCTCGCTGTCCCGCCCTTCCCGGTAGGTCCGGGGCGCCCGGTGAGCGCAGTGCCCTTCAGGCATCTGACCCAGAGGCTGGATCAGAAGAGATGAAAAGGGCCTGGCAGGGCTTTTGAGGACTTGGGCCTCACCTGCGGTGTGTGAGCCCCAGGTGCATAGGGGCCATTGCTGCAAGCCCTCAATGCCGTCTTTTGTGGAGTCCATTGCCAGACTCTCAACTCCCAGGGAACTGCATTTAAAACAACAACCAGATGGTCCAGGAGTGCACTCTAAGGAAAGTCGTGCCATAGCTGTCTCTGTCATCTCCTTCCACACGGTGTTTATATGTACACTTTTCCGAGGTAGAGGTTTTTTAGACAGTTTGACCTCAAGAAGTTAATTTTTTTTAGTTTAAAAAATAAGGTTAGGAGCTGGCCCTGTAGCAGAAGTTAAGTTCTGTACATAGGGAACCAGATCCCACATGGCCCACCGAAAAGATAGACAAAATTGGAACAAAGTATTTAGAATAGCTCACATTTATACGGTTGGTTGATTTTTCAAGTGAACCAAAGAAAGCACTATATGGGAAACAAAAAATCAGTGAATGGAAACAGAAAAGCTGTTATCTTTATAGGGAGAAAAGTTCATCCATGATCTCTGCCTTATGCCATACTTGAAAGTTAATTTGAATTGGAGCATAGATCTTGTGCCATGGATATGTACCACTCACATCACCCTTCAGTGACTAACAGGAAGATTTCTGCTTCCAGTTAAGATGGAGTAATAGGGTCTGAGATTATCCATCTGGAGTAAATTTACAAATGAGACAAAATGTATAAAACAGTGAGTTTCAAAAAGTTGGAAATCAGGCAATGAATGGTAGTGATCCCTATGCAAGAAACAAACAGGATGAGCTCTATGATTTCCTAAACTTAAAAGAGAAGTGTTTCCAATTCATGATGAAGAGAGTGGGGAACCAGAGAAGAATCCAGCAGTCTCCCCAAGTTAAACAAAGGGTATCCAGGAAGCCCAAGGAAGTTGGAGTTCAGATGACAGTAATGGAAACAAGATTAAAGGACGAGGGAAAGCTTTAGAAACCTTTGGGAAACCCCTACAGTTTTCAACTGGGTAATGATCACTGTAGGTGTGTATGGAAATTACCCAAGGCTAGGGAGAAGAACTACCTGAAAGCAAGAGTTTGTGCCATAGGTACAAAACTCAGAGCTTACAAAGAGCTTAGAATATTTTATGAATATTTAATATCAACCACCTGCTAGAGTGAAAAGCTTCATGAGGGATTGAGTAAAGTACTCAGAAGAGTTTTGCCTCAGGCCAGATCAGAACTAGTCACAACACTGAACACTCCTCTGGACCTGCCAAGGAAAGCTTTAAATGTGAACAGACTAAATGTTTCCAATAACTGAAGTCCACAACAAAGCTTAGGAACACTTATAGGCATACAAAACTTCCATCACCCAATAAGGTAAAAAATTATGTCTAGTATCCAGTCAAAAATTACAAAGTCCACAAACTGGGAAATAATAAGATTAAAAAAATTGGCTGAAGTGGTCCCAGAAGTGACAGCATTAGTAGGAAACAACTATAAAAATTATTGCACAACCCAGTCATGGTTGCAGAAGCAGTGGGTCAGTGTTGTATTATACTGAAGCCATATGGGAAGGCCTAGGTTTGGATCCTGGTTCAATCTGAACATGACTGACTGCGTGCCTTCAGGTGCACCTTGTGATCCTGGAAAGCAGAGGGTGGGAGGTGCAGGTTGTTGCATGTCAGACCCTGTCAAGGGTACCTGTCTCTCTCTGTCTCTCTGAATAAATAAGTCTGTCATAAAAAGATTTTGCAGTTGTATTCTATATATTCAAAAATGTAGGACTAGACAATAGTGTGGTTAAGGCAACTAGATCCCAAATGACTGACTGCTAGATTCAAATTCTAGACCTGGCAATTGAAAAGTACTCCAGGGGGGTGTGTGTGTGTCCCCAATATCCCAAAAGAAGAAAGAGAAGTGATTGTGGAGTCACCATCCCCCACAGGGAATGCTTTCTTATTTTCCTCTTTGTCTCTCTTTGGTGAGCACAAATTTGCACCCTCTAGCAAATTACTAAAAAAAAAAGGCAAAATCTAGAGGAAGATTGAACACATTAAAGACATAGAAGATATAAAGTGAACAAATTAATTTTACAAAAATGAAAATTACAATGAGATGAAAAATGCACAGATGAGAGAAACAGTAAATTAGCAATTATTAGAAGAAAAGATTTATAAACCTGTTCTCATAGGGAGAGAAACCTCAGAATAAAAGATGGGGAAAAGAAAATCAAAATTTCTTCAAGCAATGGAGTAATTTCAAGTAGCATAATGCACATATATTCGGATTTGTGAATATTTTTCTAAATTTTATGGAAAGCATGACCCCACAGATTCTTTGCAGAAGCTCAGTGAGTACCAAGCACAAAGAACATGAAAACAAAACATAAGCAAATTACTTAAAAGGAGTAAAAAAGGGAAAGAAAAGAAAGAAACCTTGAAATAAGATAGGATAAAAGACACATTACATACAGATGAAAAATAATTTTTTAAAGATATGGATAACAGCAGGTGTCTTGTCAAAAACCACAGAGACAGTAAAGCAACATAATTACAGTGTTGAAAGGAAAAACAAAAAGGTTAAACTATAATTCTTTACCCAGGATAATTATCTTTCAAAAAAAAGCAAAATGTAAAATTTTTCAGACATACAAAAGATGGTATAATTAAGTCACAGAACACTTGCATTATAATGTTGAAGGAAGTCTTTTAAGCAGAAAGAGAATAATGCCAATTAGAAATTTAGATTTACTGAGGAATGAGAAGTGCTAAAAATGATAACCACATACATGTTTCTAATCTAAACATATTTTTCTTATTATTTAAGCCTATTCAAAGATAATTTTGTAAGCAAAATCTAGCACAGAATTTAGGATATAGATAAAAGTAAAACATGACAGCACACAAAAGCCATCTGGGAGAAAAAGAAATACACTGTTGTAAAGTTCTTATTCTAATAAAGTGTTACAATGCTGTTTGAAAGTAAACTGTGCTGTCATAGACTGGTTAATGGCGCAAGGATTTAAGTTTCAGGTCCAACTCTGTAGTGCAGTGGTTAAATGAGCTGCATCCCACGTGGCGACATGGTTCAAATCCCAGCCCTGGCAACTTTGAAAACACTCCAGGCATACATGCATGCATGCCCCAAATCCTGATAGGATGGAGAAATGACAAAGAAGGGATTGCGGTATGACCATGCTGCATTGGGGAGTGCGCTCGCTCGCTCTTTCTCTCTCTCTCTTTCTCTCACATACACACACCCTCTTTTGATTAAAAAAGAAGAGAATATATATAAAGTCATCAGAAAAGTCATGACTCACTCTGTCCTTTTGAAAGAAAGGTAGAGGAAAGTTTGACAGAAGAGAATTCACTGTGATCATGGGGACAGAGATTGGAGCAGTGTTGTCCAACTACATCAATCACATTAAATGTAAGTTATTTCAAGACCTCAATTGAAAGGCAGAGATTGTAAGAATGGATGAAAAGGCAAGACTCAATTATATGTTACTTAAAATAATTACTGTGCATATAAAGACAAAAATTGATAGTATCAGATGCTGAGAACTTACCTCTATAGTTACCTCTATAAGAAGCCTAGAAGTTAGTTTGCAAAATGTCATAGATTGTGGGAGAAAATACAAGACTCCTAGCCAGACAGAAAGGATTTTACTATTTAAGGCACAGCAGGTAGCATGCATTTTGTGTTTAGATCGGTAAAGAGCTGAGATTTTACATAGAGGAGCCTAAAAATTAGTTGGCAAAAATTTTAAAGGTTAGGGAGAAAATGCAAGACTCCTGGGTTAGACAAAGGATTTTATTATTCAAGACATGGCAGACAGTGTGCATTTTGTGTTTAGATTGGTTACTGTCAGGCCAAGACTCAAGGCGTAATGCAAGGCTAATCCAGGTGGATGGGGTGCACACAGATTTTTCACAGCTGAGGAACTCAAAGCTTATCCTCTTGTACTTCCCAGCATCTAAAGTGTTCTCTTTCAGCATGCTTTTCTGTCTGTCCCCACTGCTAGAAAAGTAGTATGTTCCATTCCAGTAACTATAACTTCTTTCCAACCATCCTCTACCCTCTTTTCATCTGGAAGAGTCCGTAGGAAGAGGAACAGGGGAATTTTTATAAAACATTAATAAAATCCAATATATCCCTCACTTTGGACCCTGTGGGTCAATGTAGAGGGACTAGGTAATAAATATGATAAGCATGCTTACATATGATAAGCATGTATCATAAGAATGTAGACGCAAGGCCTGAACACTAGACCATGCTTCATCTAGGATTTCTCATGGGAGTTTTCTCAGGAAACTGACTTAGAGGACCAAATGTCCTTACAGTAGCTAGAATCCACTTTTTAAAAAGTTAGAGGCTTTTCACTGTCATCTCCAAAAAGATCCAAATTTGATAGATTTTAGGAGCTGTCGAGCTGTAAGAGGGCCAAGCTGTTACCATTCATCCGTAACAAACATGATATGTACC